TCTCTCTCTCTCTCTCTCTCTCTCTCTCTCTCTCTCTCTCTCTCTCTCTCTCTCTCTCTCATATGCCAGGTACTAACCTGTGAAGATGGCGCTGTGCTGCAGGTACCTCGAAGGTGAAGCTGGAGCTATGGCGCTGCAGGTAAGTATCCGTGGCCTCCGCCCAATCTCTCTCTCTCTCTAGTACTACTCTAGCTCCTATGGCTCCCAGCGCTGAAGACTACTGCTAACGCTACTAGTGCCCAGCACTGAAGACTACTGCTAACGCTACTAGCGCCCAGCGCTGAAGACTACTGCTAGCGCTACAACTACTCCTGCAGCGCTCCTCCAGAGTGCTGCTGCCGAATCCTGAAGACTACCACCTGCCTCCTGAACTGCACGTGAAGTGCCTGGGAAGTACCTAGGAACTACCTRCCKGCCTGCAGGGCGGGCCAGTCCTATATAGTGCTGGCCCGTCCAGGAGGCTGCTCTTGCCAATGCCGAAACGTGCCAGACCCTGGCGTTGAAGCTCAACCAGGGGTTGTCTTGAAAACAGGCCTGAAATGGCCTGTGCTAAAACCCTGTTTTTTTGCCTGAGTTTCAGGGAGGGTCGGACTGATGAGGGCCTGAAAATGGCCCTCAGTTTCAGGCTGAAAATACTCAGGGCCGGAAAGGCCCTGATTTAGCCTGAAACGACACAGGGCCTGTAGGCCCTTGTTTTCAGGCTTTTGGCCCGAAAACGTCACGGGCCTGAAAGGGGGCCCGTGCAGCCTGTTGCAGGCGCAGCATGTAACGCTCTCCCTCTCTCTCCCAGGCTCGCTGCTCTGCCTCAGCCCCGTCACATTGGCTGTCCGGTCTTTTCGTTAGCGGCACGCCAATTGTGTTGGATGAGGGAGCGTGCTTGCGTGACGGTGGTGTCGAAGTCGTCGTAGTCCTCCACTCGTCCCAATGCTTGTGTCAAGGAGTCTATCGAGCGTTTGAAAAACTCGCGACGAATGTGTGTGAACGGTAAGTTCAGATCCGGAATGGCAACAATCTTTTGCCATCGGTCAACCATTCGCCCATCGGCTGGCTCCCTTGATACATTTGAAAAACTTTATTGATGCCCTTGGCGACCTCGTCTTGGACGATGAAGCGTGCTTTCCACAGAGTTTCAACTGTGTCCCAGTCCAGCTTGGTGTGCAAGCGGTCCATATTGACACCCTCCTTGACCGCCAGGTGGTTGAGCCAGACTTGGCACGCACTGGTGGTGCTGAGGTCGAGGGCCGCGATCTTGAGATGATCGGGGACTTCACAGAAGCTTAGTTCTGTGGTAAAGCCTTGCCACCATGTAGAGTATTCTGCTTGGTGTAGCCGTCAAACTTCTCAATGTTGAAGTTTGGCATCTTGTACGTATGTTGTTCGCCACTACTGGAAGGTCGTTGCTGCAGCGTACGGAGACTGCTGGTCAACAAAGCAATCTGGTGACTGATCGTTGCTGATTCCGCGAGCGTGCCAAGGTCGCCAATGGTGGCAACCACAATCCGCTGCTCCAGCTGTCGTGTGGACGGCTGGTTGTTACTTGGTGCAGCGCTTGCTGAAGCCGCGTTGTCTTGTTTCAAGCGGTCGAGGTGCGCATGGATACTTCGGTTTGCTTGTCCTTGCGAGTCCCGGAGTTCGCCGATGACGCGCTCGAGCCGCTGTAACTCGTGTTGTTGCCACTTGCAGGTCATCCGACGCGAGGAGCTTGGAAACTTCTTCCTTTGTCTTTTCGTCGACCTACGTTGGTTGTGGCCGTCCGGCGGGGTAAAATGCCAAGCACGCAGCATGGCTGCATACTCCAGCTCTTCCTGTAGCAGGCTTGTCGCGGATTCTTGTCGGAGGCACTGGACTGCATCGGCTGCTGCCTCCTGCTGCCGATGTTGAGCCTCCGCGACTTCCTGCTGTTGCCATCGTAATGTAGCTGCCGCCTCAGCCTGCCACTGTTCCTCTTCGGCCACCACTTTACTGAAGGTGAGGACGCGGGCGGCAAAGTCCGAGATGTACTCGCCAGGCTGTTGGCCTGGCATGCTGTTGAGTACAGGACTGTCGAGTCCCTGTTCCGCACCGGAACTACCAACCTGAGAAACTGCTGCACCTCCGGCGGCGGCTGACGTGGCCATGGTGGTGACCCGTGTTGGCTGCGGTATCCGGAGTGCTGGCTGGGGTTCGATGGGTGCGGAAAATGCAGCCCGCTGTTGAGCAGCTATTCGTGTGCTGTGTCTGAGCATTCAGATTGCCGACGTGGCTGCCGAGAGAAAACAAGAGGGGAGAAGGAGGGGAAACAATGCAGGCAGGCAAGCAGACTGGACTGCAAGTTCCAATCCGTATGCTGATCACTAACCAACAGAAATTAAAAAAAAATGAAAAAGAAAAGGAAGGCTAAGAAGCGTCTTTTTTTTTTTTTTGAATGTCTGTTGATCATGTGTCAGTGAGGCATTACCAGATAAAGAGTAGTTAACGAAAAGAAGATTCGGACTTTGAAAGAATAACGAAAATTAAGAATAAAGTAGCAGGATGTTAAGGAAAATTTTGAATATTCGATTTGAGAACAATTTGCGAGGCCACTGCCTCTAAGAGCCTCATAAGGCCCCAATTTTGCAGCCCGTCGGCCGCCCTAAGTGAAGCCAGGCTCAACGAGGCCCTCAGGGCCCTTTACTGGCCACCACGCAACTCAGGGAAATTCAGGCAGTTGCGCAGCGCCAGTTGGTTGAGTGAACCCAGGCCCTGGGCCGCCTGTGTGAATGAATGTGAAGCAGGCCCTGGGCTGAATACGGGTACCGGGCCAAACACTGGCCAAAGGCAGTTGGGCGCAGACAACCACCTCCGGCCCAAGGTGTGGCATACTGCGTAGCCACACGGGCCCTGCAGGGCCCGTCCCGGACATTCAGCCTAAAAGCCTAAAACTTAGGGCTTACAGGCCCCGGTCGTTTCAGCCAGAAAGCTGAAAAACGAGGACCTGCATGCCCTACTCCGTTTCAGCCTATTTATGGGTCTTTCAGACCCAGAGTTTTTCCAGCCTGAAATGGAGGGCCATTTTCAGGCCCTCATTGTTTCGACCTGCCCCTAAGACTCAGGCACGTAAACAGGGATGCGGAACAGGCCAAGAATAGCCTGTTCCTCACGTGCTCGAGCAGGAGCTGCAGCTGCAGCCCCTGCCTGCCTTCGGCATTGGCAAGAGCAGCCTCCTGGACTGCTCGCACGAGTCAGGAGGCACACCCGAGAAGTACATAGGACTGTCCTAGGCACTTCACGGGTAGGTAGTCAGTCAGTAGTCAGGTGTAGTCTTCAGGATAGCGGAGCAGCACTCGGAGGAGCGCTGCCCAGGGTAGCTAGCGCTAGTGGTAGTCTTCGACGCTGGGCGCCATAGCTGTAGTCTTCAGCGCTGGGCGCTATAGCAGTAGTTGTAGTAGTGATTTGGGAGAGAGATGCTGGCGGAGGCCAGCGGTACTTACCTGTGGTGCCATCGCTCCAGCTCCATCTTCGTGATACCTGCATCAAGGCGCCAACTTCACAGGTTAGTACTGGACTGAGAGAGAGAGAGAGAGCTCTTCTTCTTCCTCTTCTTAAGTCCACCACCTCTTCTCCCCCTCTCGCTGCCTACTTCTCAGTATATGTGGACTACGAGAGAGAGATATGATCTGAGACTTGACGACATTGGATACAGACTCGACATTTGGGATCCAGACATTTTGACGAGGGACTATTTGGGCCTGTGCCGAAGACTTGGTGTTGACGATATTCCCATCTTTCCCTCCTCTTCGTCTCACCCCCCTCATCTTCGTCTGTGTATGTGTGGGGCTGGCGCAGTCTTCCTGTGTGAAGCGCTAGACCCCTTAACACACCCTGGGATGATGATGATGATGTGCGTTATGGACTGCATTGCAACATTGATTGATCGGTTCATTGGTATCTAAGTCTTCCGTTTGCGCCATCTTGTACTTTGCATTGAGAGGTCGGTTCTTGTTCTCTCTGTACCTTTACGGTATGCAACCTGCTTTCGACGTGTTGGGCCTCAGGCTACCGGGGCCTACTGGAAGCTTCATGGGACTGGACGCAGGCAGGCCACTTCGATATAGGGAAGGGCCTGCCTCCTCATTCGGTATTCGGGTGCTGGCTGCATGCTGCGCAAGCGCTGCTGCGCTATTTGCTGGCTGGCGCCCACGCTCTCACGGGCGAGCAGGGAAGGAGCACGCAGCCATAGCCGAGCTGCGCTGCTGTAAGCTAGGTGAAGTGCAGGGTAGTCCTTGGGTGCTAGTGGCATCTGTGAGTTGGGGAACGAGGTTGTGAGTGTACCGCGAGACATAGCTGGTGCTGGAAGCGTGAGACATTGGTCGC